CAGTAGAGAGTTGAAAGTTGATCGCACAGTTACATCTAACTTCACGATAGTTATTTGTTGGTAGATTTCACAAGAAGTATCTCAGACATCCGTAAAATAATGAATGACGTCAGTTATGTCAAAATCTGTTCAACAGTATTTGAACAAAGCTTTGGACCCAAATGAAGTACTTTTTGTGCTTTCAGTATTCGTAGTTCATTTATTTCGACACAACACCGATGAATTCAAAATGATATATATATATATATATATATATATATATATATACATATATGAAGCTTAGAATTACGTAATTATTATTCTTATAACCATACTCGTAGATCACTACTATTGTTAGTGTACAAATGGTTTTTAATGAAAAAAGTTTGTATTATGTCTTTTTCATAACCAAAAGCCAAATAAAAACATGAAAAGAGCCAGAAAACAAATTTTCAAATACTTAGAAAATGTCGGAGCTCTTCAGAGTAATGAATATATGATGAGAGGTGTTTTCAAAATGTATTCGGCAATTAAAAATGTAAGTAACAGGCAGCAGACATTTTTAATGAAATCCAACGGACGGTTTTTTTAAAGACGATCGTATTCAAGCATAGGAACGATGTCGCATCTTATGAAGTTAGTTACTGGTGCTAAGTAGGTTGAATGTTCTTACTGAAACCTACTGGTTATCATTGAGGAACATGTAAAATCATATGAGGTAAAAAGTGAGGTGACTAGATGAGGTATAAAATTGACCCACTTTCTGGAGTAAACATTGTGGTGAGATATGAAACTTGTCTTGTAAACGTTAAGAACGAAGGATTATTAATTGCCAAAGATATAGTCCGGGTGATAGCAGTGACACGAAACTCAAAGTTGGAACAAGTAGTCGTCGCTTATTCCCGACAGAATGAGACAGAAGTTTAGATTTTTGAAAACAAGCATAAGTAAGGCTAATATTATCAAATAATTATCAATATATTAGTTGATATATTATTAATTAATATAATATATTTATTAATTATTACTATATGAATAATCAGTATTCAAATTGATGATGATATACAATATTATGTTTCTTCCTGAGTTTGAAATAAGTAATATATTTGATTCATAGAAAATTAACTACAATACTAACTCGTTTCCTTCCAAATGATGTTTAAATCTGGATGTATCAAAATGCATATTTATTACTGGGCAGTTCAGGAAATCTGTGACATGTAACGAGATGTTAAAACGAAGAATACAAAATTAGATGAATGAGACGAGCACGAGTATTGGCCGCTGTTTGGATGACTAGTTCCGACTGAGGAGCATTCAATATCAATTCCGCTCTAGTTTTGAAATGATAAAGTATTATTAATAACAGTCTCAGAATTATTGTATATTCATCTAATGAATGACTGACAAATTCTTTTCTTCAGGCAATGTCAACAGATAATGTTCGAACAAAAGTTAAATTTGAAGATTTGAGCGAAATATGTTCCATAGTAAGTTGAGATTCCGACTTGAAATCCGAACACTCGGCTAAGTCCTTTTACTTCACTTATAATATGAACAAAATATAGTGAACAATCCGGTTGATTACTTTGGTTTAAAATTGTTTCAACAAACATGATTGTCTTGAATGATTGTAGTCTTGATAATCTGGATTTAGTGTCTATTCAAATAAGATCATGCTTTACCACTAAAATGATGAAAGTACTTTTCTATTTCTTCCGAAACAGAATGTAAGAGAAGTTATTATGATTAGTTCAAAAGTGTAGAATTTAACACTTTGTATGTTTACGGTTTGGATAAAATATACGAACAATTTATAAAAGAGACAGTCACTTGATTTGTATTGTTGGATCTGTAATTCTTATGCAAAGATGCATAATTAACAATTGGAAAAAACTATGGAGAGAATATATTTCTGAGAATTACGATTATTTTAGAAAATCGTAAACTCCTTCGAGGATATGTGTAAAAACTGAGCATACCATTGTAGTGTTATTGATGTATATAAGACAACGAGATAACAGTGATAGTCAAAACAAGGATGAAATTGATAGCATCAAACAGCTGCATGCAAACTGAACTAAAAGAGAATAAAATTAAGCAGTCGGACCATCAGGATTCAATAAAAACGGAATACGTAATCAGTTTAGAAAGTAAAATACTTACAGATATAACAGATTATACCAATAATTTAATTAAAATTGTTTAGTTGACAAACGGAATTGCTTTGTTGTTCAAATGATTAGACAAATTGAAGTGTTGTACTTGAATAACGTTTTATTTGTGCAACTGTTCTATACATTAATAAAATCAAAACGAAATTAAACACGATCAAGTTAACTTTAAAACCGATCAAAAAATAAAAGATTTTACCTAAAAACGCTATTCGGATCTGAAACATTCTGATTGATGAAAAGTGCAAATAAATTGAATATTCATAATTCTTGACAAACGGAATTTTTAACGGAATTTGAGATGACCTTCTGTGATGATCTTCTTTAATAATCAATCAATGATTTGCAGTTGTTTGTAAAGCAAGATTATGAATATGGGAAAAGATGTATTCATTGTGAGAAAGAAGTTCCATTTTAATGAGTTAACCAGGATAAACTCACTGATATTGAACATACATGTACATGTCATTTTCATATATGAAACACATTTTAATCGTTTTAAATTTGTTTCAAATTATCTACTTCGACTAGATTGATTGGAATGTTCTATTCGGAAATGTATTCCGTGAAACAAAGTATGAGGCTTATAAAAATCTGACAATTTATGTTGAAAATATACAAAGCATCAAGAGCGTTTGTAATGTTCATAGAGCTGCTATGCAAACGGCAAGAGGAAGAAGGTATTTTTCTCCAAATTAATTTATGAGCTTTTGGAAACCTTCATTTTGTAGAATGTCATGTGCTAATTTGTCTTCACAATACTGTTTTCATTTTTGCATGTAATATTTTAAGCAATTAGATATGCACTACTCATTAGGTTGTCAAACAATAATCTGAGTTATATTCAGTGATGATTGTTTTGGTGACTTTTTCCTTGAAGCAGAATAATTCATTTGTACTTTTCATCCGATTAAAGACAATGACCAGTTAATTATGAGGTTCATTAAATGTTCCTTGTAGCACAGACATTCGGATTCATAGAAAAAAGGTGAATTTTGGAACCGACAATGCAGAATCGTTATTGTAGAAGTTGTGCTCCGTTTAGATGTAAATTATCAATTTCATTTGGTGTGTTCTACCACTGTGTTGACCAAAACTGCGCGGAGAAAACAATTTTTGTTGTCAACAATATTTAATGGCATTTCAATCGATGTCTGTCATCAATGAAAATCCTTGAGTGAAATAAATCCCTATTATGTGGCATAGTTTATTTATGTCTGCAAATTTCTGCACAAGTTTCTGTTGCAAGTTTCTTACACAACTAGCCAGACTGAAGAAATTGTACCGAGCAAATGGTAGGACCGTTAGTTTATCTGGTTGAAATGATCATCGTCGATAGGTAGGACTATATAGAACGAAGACAAAGATACATTACACTAAACTAAATAGAACGAAAATACAATACAATACGATACTTTTCACAACTACATGAGTATTATAAAGAATGAAATTCATAAAAATCAATGTCCCTTTTGGATACTTCATTATATGTCCACTTTATAAACATGCATCTTCAATATCTGTCAACAACTACTAGTATAAATTTTAAGTCAAATATTGATTGTGCATTGATTAAACATGTGGTTTTTCTATTCAATCTTGTAGAGATCTACACAACATGATAGTGATCAGCTTTCTGTACAACTTGAGAACTACCTTGAATGAACATTTTGAAGATTTTTATCCTGTCGACAATCGTAAGTGCCAGCAATCAATCACACAGATGTGATTTACTCTAAAAGTTTGTTAAGACCGATCACTTTATTTCAGATTGACGTTTTGAAATCGATGGAAGACAAATAAACACATTGAAACCATATTTCGAAAAAAAGTTGTCTTGTTCATGCCGGATGCAGCTAACATGACACTATGCTGACAGTGATTGGACATATTCTACAACAACAAGTCTCCATAGATAGTATTAAGAACTGGTTGAATAGAGAATGGAGCAAATTGTTAACAGTCGGGCGTTATTTATTCACATTAAAGTCATTGTAATGATTAGACAGTATTATCTCTAATGTTTAACTGAGTAAGTACTCCAGTATTTGCTCACATCCATTTTGCTGTGTGGGTTCAACAACAAATTTTAATTCAACAGAAGAGTATATAAGGGATTACTTTGAAATAGTACTGGTAATTGAAAGGGTTGTGTGCATACAGTAAAGCTGAAATCATCAAAAGTAACATGAATTGATTATGAAACAAAGGAGTTTTCCTAGTGAACATACGATTAGTTCTGACCAAAGACAATGTTCTGTTTTCTCCTCTATTTTGCTTCTTTCGGTCATTATGAAAAAATGACATCTTTAGATAGGAAGTCGAATTGCACTAATGAAGTGAGAGAAAATTTCCGATGGATTTTCGAACGATATTATGGATATTCCAGTGTATCGAGTAGTGGGGAAAGAGAAGTGAGTTTAACTTTTGATAAACCATTCTTTCAAATTTATTTTTTTGATAAAGCATCACACAGCGCTGTTTTGCACGATGCTTTTCAAAGCATAAATAAGTAAAGCTTTTAGGCATGAATTCATTTGATTCAGAAAGTGAAATAATGATGATTTGTAACTCATGATGATTTTACTGTTCTCAGATATATATTTGAATCCACTACCTATATCTGAGTAAAGCTAGAGTCAGAGCAATGAAGAGATTTGTGCATTTTTGGTGATCAAACAATGAAGAGATTTATGGATTTCTGGCGATCAGTCGTACCGGATTCTGTCATTTTCTTGCAGATGGTTAAGATTTATAAAATAATATTCATACAAGTACTGATGATTTACATCATTTCGGAAATCTGTTTGATCATTTTTATCTGTTTGTATTGAATAGGTTAGAGTTATGCTTTGGGAATTGAACCAAACATTGACTCAGTTATTACGTCTAATTTCATGGCCCACTGAAAATAGTAGAAGAAGCGCTATTGAATCGGTTTGTCTAATTTTGATAATTAATTATGTGAATAATAACCCGATGCATTATTCAGGTGCGCAATTTCGATTTATCGATAATAACTTCGAAATCGTTGAGTGCGAAAGCCAAAGTGAACCAGGATTTATTAGCTGAAGTAAGTTCCTCCAGTACAACACTATTTATTACCCAACGAATAATTGATAGATAAATTTACCAACCAAGGGACATATTATGCACTAATTCGCAAATTTTCCTGTACATCCAATCGGTTTTTTGACATGACTTATGCTAATGGTTGAAAATTATGTATTACAAATCGATATATATTTGTATGTTGCATGGTTATTCATTTTGAGGAAAGTTTCAGTAAGCTGATAGTCGTCCAGAATTTATTTTGAATTTTTAAATTGATAAGATTGAATAAACAATAATTACAAAAGATTAGAAGTTTGAATAAGTTTTAGGAATATGGTGAATGAATGAGAACGAAACAAAGAACACTTCATCGTGTGAAGATATTACGAACTAATGCAACTACTAATAATTGTGAAACACCAGTTTGTTTTGAGTGCTTCAATAACCCCTGTCACAGTGATGTGCAATGAAGTTACATGATTGATTGAAGTTACATGAAGTTACTGAATAATAAACACATTTTAGATTTGCCTTTTCGGGAGATGAAAGAGTAGTGTTCTTCTCATTTAACATGATGATGATCGTGGATCGATAAGCACTATTCAGTTAGGCATTTATGTGAGTAGGTTATTATAGGGTTGATTACTTCAACAGTCTGAACGCATCTGAAGCTAAGGTGTTAGGAACAAACATCATTTCTAACTGTGTCGTAATCACCGAGTTCATTCCATGTTCTATGGTGCTTACTAATGAGCTTCTGTGAATTAGGAGTTACATGCATATATTCTTCAATGATTGCTTATTGAAAACATCAACATTTTCTGACAGCTTGCATATGGTTTAAACAGGTTTAATATCAATAATTCAACTGATTGTATAATATCATTTGCTTGGTGTTAATCAACATGGCATGTAGTGAAGCCTCTATCGCCTGTTCAACACAAAGTTACTCCACAGTTAGTCCTAACAAATTTTGACTTGACGAGAAATCACCATCAGATTGAACATTCCAAAGTGATTCATAATATGTCAGTTTAATAAATGTGTAGTTCCTATGTTCTTTTGTTTCTAAGTGTAGGTATGTACACACTGGTTGTGACTGTATTAATAGAAATTTATTTACAATTACACACAACTTTATTTGGAAAAGAGTCGATTGAAGCTGTACACCTTTGATCTTCGAGATGAAACTGCAAATGATTTTCATCAGTGTGCTTTCTTTACCTGCTTACCATTTTTTTTCACTAATACTATGAACATCACGCGAATTCGAATTTTTTCTGAGAACATTTCAGTAAAAAAATTGTTACCTATGACAATAATTTGTTAAATCATTTAATTTTTCTTTTAGAATAGAATTTCTAAAAATAATTACTTTATGAATGTGTATTATTGTCAAAAGACCAACTTCCTTAAATCAATAGATGCGATTTTGTATGAGTACGATTTGTAAGTGTAATCTTTTTAAATATTGGTAATTAACATATTTTCACATCGAGTAAACAGTGTTTTAACTCAGTTGATGGTACGTACTGGAAAGTAATGTTACTTACTTGCTTATTTACACTGGTTACTCCCAATGAAGCCTAACTCAAGGACAAGTATTCTACAATCTACTCTGTTCAGCGCGTTCCTTGAGTGACTTTCGTGATGTGTCGCACCCAATCTCAACATTTCTTGTTCATTTATTCGTCAGTAGGAACCTGCTTCCTTCTCTGCTGTTGATGGTGTCTGATTAACAAATGAGAAGCATCTTGCGTTAAAAACTGTTGACAAACACTTGTATCTTGTAGATAAGAGCTTTCGTGGTTGTTCAACTTTCCGCTCCATAGCATAGAAGTGTATTGATGATCGTACGGAAAATTAGGACCACTGTTGTCTGACAGACAGTTGTTTTGAATTCAGAATGTTTTTAATTAGAGAAATGCATCCCTGGAGTTGCTGCATCAAATCAATGTGGTTATCAATGAGGCTGCCCAGATATGTAGAGGTTTTCAAGACTTCCAAAGATTTTATGTCAAATGTGATTCAGTAGATGTATGTGATGTTGTTTCGGAGAATCTTGCTTCTTCTTCTGTTTTTGTCTAGATCTATGGCTGCAGGTGCTAATGCTACACTGTCCATTTTCACCTGCATTTGTTGTTGCGTGTGTGATGGAAGGGTCGCATCATCTGTGAAGTCTAGATTCTACAACGGCATCCAAACTGTCCACTGTGTCCCGCTATTTTCCTTACCTCTTGAGGTCTTGACTTTCTTCTCAATCACACTGCAGTTTCGAAGAAGCTTCCTCAGCTTCATTTTGTATACGCTATCAAGTACTATCTCACAGCCAACTGATTTGATTGAGTGATGTGCTGTCTATCTAACCTTGATGTCTAGTTCTCCCATCAAAACTGTCAAACACCTTGCTGAGGACTTCCCGATGATTGGCTGCAGCCTCCCATTGGATTGGTTCTTATCGTCGAAGCATCCAAGCAACTCTTTGGTTGTGTGAGGAGTTTCGTTCTTCGTGGATGAATTAAGACAGCTTGTCTGCTGAAGCTAGTATATTTCGTCCAACGTGCATCTATCGTGTCTCATGTATTCCTAGCACCACCAGCATCATTGTTAAGAAGTATCTATCATTAGATACTTATCAGTGTCTAATTTCAACTCCATAAGTTTCAATTTAAACAAATGAACTTGGATAAACATAAAAACAGACCCTCTTGCTTCAAGCTAGTTAGCTGTGATAAAGCTTTTCAATGAGTACAATTTATTCCCGTCACCACTAGATTGTATTTTTTCACTTCCGCAGCAACTTGAATTGTTCTTCCGATCTCTCGCATTGTACAAACATTCCATGCAAATATCCCTACGCTTGTCCTGTTTGTCGGTAGAGTTATCAAATTCGTAACTTTCGAAGAAACTCGCCTTTCATCTTGAAGCATCATAACGTTTATAGATGAAGACCTTTCCATTACCAGGCCGAGTTTGACGTTTCTTTTTACTTTTCTTTGAATAATGCATTTGAAAATGTTTGCGTTCCATGAATTGTAGTAGCTTATTCTACTAACCATTTCAACCCATTCATCAGGGTATTGGACAACAGTGTCAAGTAGGGTTCTAGATAAAGTTAACTTACACTTTTACACTCATTTAAACACATCCTCATATTTCAAAATCGATTTCACTGCCTCTACAGATAGTTAATAAAACACGAAAATGGAAGCAAGCCTTTTATATTTTGCAGCATTACGCACTAAATTTGTAAGAAATGAAAACAAAACAGCGTAAAAAATTTTTTCATCATTCGTCAGCTGATTATGTACTTTAGTTTAGTCAATGGTGATCATGTGATTTGGTTCAGTCAGTGATGATTAGTTTGAAAATATAATATCTTTGGTCTTCACCTGAAGAAAATGTACTTCGAAACGTCTTTGTTCGTTAGCCTTATGTAAAGCCTTTTCTGTATGTCGGGATATGTGAAAAATCGTTAGCGAATAAACATGCAATAAATTATTTAAATTACAGACGTTTCCTTTTCACTCAATTTGAAGATTGAAACAGTTAATAATTTACTAAACATATCAATGTTCGTTTTATGTTTACAAACTATAGACCTGAAACCTTTAGCTTTATACCATATATATCCGGTTTTGAAGAATATGAAACGATAACTATATCTGCTGCGTTGTTGTACCCGCCGTTTCTACGTGCTTCATATTCAATATCTGAAAAATATGGAATTCTCGGTTGGCTTATTTGTCGTCAAGTAATATCTGCTGGTAGCTTTTACAGTATGTTATCTTGCTGAGTCCTAATTTTAACAAAACAATGTATTCTGAATTAAATACGAACAGTTTGGATTTGTTCATTCAGTTTTCGTTAACACATGACTAACCAAATCTTGTTGATTGTATGCTTGTTAGCTGTTTCTACTTAGTTATCAAGTCTGTCTTAACTGAAACTTATGCTACTTAAGTGTGTATAGACGACATCAGTTAAATTGCTAAAGCCAATGTGACTAACTAAATTACCTGTAAGAAAGGAAAAGCTTACGAATGCAAATTTTTCAAACATATATAATTCTCTGTCAAGCTTCACATGATTGTGTTTCGTTTAAGTTGGTCGATAGGATTTTAGACGATGTGGAATGTATGTATTCCGTATGACAACCTATGAATTTAAATTGAAAAACTGCTGATTACGGTGCACGTTGTAGATCATTATTCTTGTTAGTTTAGAAATCGAAGGTGGGAACGCTAAGTGGTTGCGATAAGTGGAGTTCATATGTAATAAATATGGCTTCATAGATAATTACACTTTAAAATTCACAGATACGCAGCAAGGTTATTCTTCGTTTTACGCTGTTAGAAACTATGAAAAATGATTCAAGAACTGAGATATTATTGAGTTCGTGGAGCTTTGAAAGCGAACAGATGAAGGGGAAATTTTCTGATTGGATTTTCGTTGTGATAACTGAGAATACATGTAGTTCGATTGTAACCTGTGCAATGGTCATGAATATGAACACTCACTTAATGTTCTTGTCTGGAAAATAATTTGTGTTTTAATGACATTTGCATTACAGTTTTGAGTGAAGATCTCTTTAATGAACAGGAAAACTCTCAGTTACAATGTGGACTAAACAACCCATCACCGATCGAAAATCAACTGTGCTGTTTATCGAAACAAAACAGCTCTGCGGCTGTTGAAAACAAAGTAAGTATTTTTTTAAGATAGTGTTTTGTCCCAAACATAGTTTAACTGCTGCAAAGTTATCGGTATTCCATTTATGAAACTGGTTTCCTAGATGGTAATACTGTTGGCGTTTAGTTATTCACTAAACAACATTTGTGGTTTCGGAGTTAATTCACAGATACTATAAATGTGTATTTCAAAACAGACCAAGTCAACCGATTTATATCACGTTTGAAATGGCATAACATAATATAAGTAAAATTGAAATCGCTTGTAATATTTTCACAGATACAAACTGAACTTTGTTTTCTTACTGTATTTCACAATGACCAGAACTTGGAGATGCTCTCAGCTGATATTAATGGCCTCAAGTACGCATTCATAGTAAGT